ACCATAACCAGTTCCATATGCTAGCGCACTGATCACTCTGCTCTCCATACCTGAGTTCTTCTGTTCAGGCAAAGGTAGAGATAACTGAAAGCAACTTTCCACGAGCATTGCCACCAACTCTTCCCGAAACAAGCTTTTATTGGTCACGCTATTAAGATCATCCTTTATCCTTGCATCCTCAAAGAGAGAAATAATATCTGTCCCAGGTAGAGGCTTCTGACCTCTTCGGACACTTTCCTTAGCAAAGAGATGAACACATAGAGCTGTCCGGCAGATACAGGCCAAGGCATGCATCCTGTCTGATTCTGCTCTCAAGTTCCTCACCATAAGCAGCAATCTTCTAAACAATGAGACCTTCATCAGAAATAGAACAATTTAGAACACAAGTTACCGCAGCTTCAAAACACAAACCGTGAAGAAAAAGGGCACTTGGTCACTGCATCCATCCTCATCAAGCTAAAGAACTCCAAATCGAATCCAGTAAATGAGGCCATTTACCTCCAAATCGTGACAACTGCCCTGACTATAATCTCTCTAGCGGAAGAAAACTCTTGCCTGTCCCAAAGGATTAAGATTGCGATGATGGACAGTGAAGCCCACTCCGGTTTCCCTCCGGGAACATCCGCCAGGTAAAGCATGTTAATTCCCACCTCAAAGATCAAAGCTGGTTCCAGAGACGAAGCCAAATGTGTCACCAAATCTGAAACCCCGACCAACTTCTCAGCATTGGAGTCCACATCCGTACCATTAGTTGCAGCACCTGAGGAAGCCTTCGAAAGCTGCCTTATCACTTCCACGCTACCGGAAGCTACAGCCTTCACGGCAAACACCAGAGGGAATACGGTGGCTCGAAACCTTTCAACCGGAAGAACCAGAGACCTAGCCAACAAAGCGCTTCTCTTTTTCCACACAAAGTCAACCATGGATGATTCCCACTTCGACCTGATGGCTAGGAAATTCTCGCTGTCCACGAGCTTGTCTCCAGCCAAACGGCTCATCCGCTTCGAATCAAACTCCTGGAACAGCCTACCGACGGACTCAAACGCAACCTTCGAGACGGCATCACGAAAGATGCAATCTTTTCTACAAAACCAGACCTTCACGCATGGAATCAGCACCAAGCATGCAAATGAAGAGAAACTAGGGTTTCTGGCTTTGGGTTCACTGGGTGGGTAAACGTAGAAATCGGTACGGAGAACCAGAAATCAAGAGATGAGGAACGAAATCGCAAGAAACTCCAAGAACCGGAAGAGATGGCGAAGAAAAAACCCAGATAGATTCAATCGCCATCGAAGGAGAGAGAGAGGGGGAGAGAGGAAGAAATGACGGAACAAGAAGCCAGACCCTCTTATTTAAGAGTCGGCACTTCCGCCGAAAAGGAAAATGGCAGAGTGGAAGGGTATTTTCGGTATTCTGTATTAACCCAGTTTTTTCCATCAAACGGTCAGAAATTAGGCCAATTTGAATTCAAAATTGGCCCGATTACATGGAAATCATGCAGCCCAATAGATTGCAAATCTCTCGACTTGTATTAATGCAAATATTAAGAACTCTATATGCCAGATTCAATATCCAGACATGTACCTCAGCACATTTGATTTTTGTGGGACAAGAATCTCCACAGCTTTCTTCTGGTTCCATCATTCCACCACATTTGCAAGTGATCTCCGACTCATGTATGCTGTGATGATATTAGCCTCTGTCCAGTTCAGAGTACCATATGCTAGCGCACCGACCACTCTGCTCTCCATATCTGAGTTCTTCTGTTCAGGCAAAGGTAGAGATAACTGAGAGCTTTTACTGGTCACGCTGTTAAGATCATCCTTTATCCTTGCATCCTCAAAGAGAGAAATAATATCTGTCCCAGGTTGAGGCTTCTGACCTCCTCGGACACTTTTCCTAGCAAAGAGATGAACACGCTA